GGAGGGATTTACCTTTCTGAAGATCAGATGGATTAGCCCTCCCAGCTCTTCCGGAATGTACAGGATCACACTACGGCTTTTCTAAGGCTTCATTGAAAATTACGGGTAACAAAGTTGTAATCATGGAGAACTCATAGAGCTTAACAGTAACATATGAAAGACAAAAATATTATCACTGAAACGCGTGATCGCGGCCTTCTTCGATGCGAGGCTGGCGTGACACACATGGCGTGTCACGAGGCCGCGGGGCAGGTTGTGGTGTTCTTGAAAGATTCTTACTTCATACCCCTCTCGCTCCTAGGTACAGGCTCCTGTGGGGTCGCCTAACTTAATTGGTTTCTCGCTAACTCCTGCCTGACCTTTTCTCGACTTGCCGATTACATCATAGCAGTCGAAGAAATTCATAGATCCATCAGTGAATATTATTGAACTAAGAAGTGCAAAATGTTAAAACGTGAATCAAACAAAGCAACAAAATATGAAAAACACGACTAATTGAAAGCACCGCAACTATAAAAATAAAATTTACAAAGGGTCAAAATTTTGAAGTTTGCTAGAATTCTGCTTCTAGGGGTCATTCGAGCCACCGAACGCCACTTTGGCGCCATGATTCTTTTTAGCGAAAGCACAGCAAGGACGACACATCATAGCAGGGAGAAGAATGCTATAGCCCTGAACTGGCCCCTTGTCGGGCCATGTGGTGGCACCGCTGAACATACTTGTAATAAGAAACCTCGCTAAGCTCCAAATGCACATTTATAGGGATTTCGGTGAAGACGTAATACTGCCAAATTAGCGCCAAACGGCGCCAATTGCGCCAGCTTCGAGAACGAGTGTAAGTTTTGTAATCAGAATTCTTAGTCACCCCATGTTTTCGTCAATCTGGTGAAAAAAGCGGGCGCCAAACTGGCATCACGTGGCGCCTTATTCAACGGACGCTACAGGAGTGTGTCATAATCACGATCAGGACACCGAATGGCCTCAGTAGATCAGTCTCTAAGCAAATTGTTCTAGGTGCGATGCATTTCTAGAGCACGAGGGTTCTAATTGGCTACATTCTAGAAATATGTTTTACAAGCAACTACCGGAGCTTTTTATAGCCCAAGCATGTACAGGAATTTGTACACCTGTAGGGATGTATGGGCAGAGGTGGTGTAGTGACAAGTGGCGCGCTTACCACTCGCGCGGCGCCGGGTTCAAATCCCGGGTCGACTCCGGCCAACCAAGCCTTCTACCTCCGGGAACGGTAAATTGTTATCATGTGTTTCACGCGGTCCGGAATTTGTTGAACAGGAGCGAGTTCCTTCGGATGGCGCGTTGCTCACCTTGGGAGTTGAGCGACATCGAGCTTTTCGCAGGCTTCGAAGGGAAAATTTCACTTTTGTGACGCTTTTCAGGGCAAGCTTCCAAGTCGAGCACACCCGCTATAGAACAGTCCTCCTGTTCCAGGGAACCTGGTAGCTGCTTTCAAAACTGTGTCCAAGGAGCTCTGTTGGATCATTGTTTCACAATTCGCCTTCGCTGGTTGGACGCTTCTCTCTATTTACCATTGAATATTTAGCTATTGCTTCCGAAAGTTCCTTCTATGCGAAACATACACTTTGAGCACATCGAAAGATTGTTGTTTCTCAATTTATGCTTTCTACGTGAGGAACAGTGACCAAGGTGGCTTCAACTGTGATGTGATACCCACAAAAACTTCGTACTCTGAACGGTGCCTTGCTGTCAGCACACGTAAGAATCATGTGCTGGGCTACCCTCGACCTACTTGACCCATAAGAGATGAGTATACAGGCGGTCGTGTCTTTATGTAGTAAGTTTCAGTATATGTCTGAAGCAGGCCGTACAATAGATATTTTATAGGAAAAAAACGTACTCATCAGAACTTTGACCATAATTTCTTTCTTAAAGTCAAAGGGCATCATAAATCCTCTACGCATGTAAGATGAATAGAACACTGGTCACCAAAGAATACCGCGCGCCTGAACAAGCCCTACATGGTGTAGTTTCTCACGAAAGTCTGTGTCTCAGCATGCTAAGGCTTGAAAGGATAACAGCGGCGGCTTTGCATACAGGTAATGAGGCTATTCCTATTGTTAAGTGCTTTGATGAGTGAGTTTCCTTTATGAAATATTTACTATGCGGTCAGCTTGAAACATCTGCTGAATGTTACTACTAAAAAATACGGCCACCTCGCACCTTGCCCCAATGGATAAAGCAGTTTGAGGGATGCTCCTTAGATAACCCAAACGTATGATAGTCGGAACACCTCTCGCTTACTGTGAAGCCTTTAAAGAAGGACAATCTTTCAGATCGCGTGCCGTGCTGCCTGACAAGGGGTTCTGGGAAGGTTTTACTGGACGTGGCTTTCAGTGTGTGCTGGTGCTTCCTAAATGAATCTGTTAATAAAGGGCCCATCCCGCGTGAACTTGGCCGCTTTGTCTCGCTTTTGTTTCACTTTCGCACTGCTTACCATTAGCTCCTTATCCGTTTTCTGCACGGGGTCCAGATATTTGGGCTCATGGGCTTCGGTCGCATGTGCACATGTCAACTACCTTCAAAAGTGTCGCCTGCACTAGTTGAGAATGGGGTTTGCAAGGAGAAGAACAGGACTCTTATATTCTTCACGAGGCTTTTAGACAGTTTTTCTAAAATTAGGAAGCGGTTCTATGAAGCTGTATGCTCGCAGAAGAGCATTCGATAGTTCACATTAAGAAGTCTAAAAGTATCAACCAGACAAATCAAAGGATGAAAGTGTGTTCACGCACAGGCAGACGCCTTTTGTGTTCTGAAACACAAAGTTAATTTTTCAAGAATCATACTTTTTTGGATTCTATTTTTTATTGTTATTTTTATTTCCTCCACTAATTGTATCGCCCATTTTTTCCCGTAATTTGAATAGTGTTCCCGAGTGGGAGGAGAGTGAAGGAGGATATGTACTGATCGAGAGTATATTGAGAGTAACTGAATCGTATTTGGAGAACACTCTATTGAAAATGGTTGGATTGCATGTGCTTGTAGTGTATCTATACCGTGTTTATCAGGAAACTGCCATAGCTCTTGGGTCCTCCCTCGCTGATTGCGTTCACAGTTCTTGACTTGAAAGTTTGTTAACGATACAGTATGGTGAGTGATGGAGGTCATTGTGCTACCATACATTGGCTGGCCAATAATTTCCGGGACTCTTTGAAGATTGAGCTCTAACGAGTACTTGGTGGACCCAATAGCCCAGTAATATAGGTAAGTGACTTATCGCATTGTCAGTACTTCACATTCTCCCATTGCCGTTCCTCTTATATGGCTGCTGCTGGCACTGGCAGTATTCCGCCTCCGCCTCGCACTGTAACCTCTCACCCTCAGGTTTAGGTGGCTGCAAAACTCTCCGACTGGCTAGCTGGATTATGTGATTTGTGAAGACGAAAAAGGTTTTTTTAGGTCAGCTCTTCGCACAAGACGCAATCGCGAAGAAGGGATGCCAAACACCTCATCGAACTGAAAGTAAAGCTTGAGCAGACACGACTGGACGATTGCTCCCCATCTACCGGATAACCCTAAGTTTGCCTCTCCCGACCATTAATTTTTTCACCCTTGAAGGCCTTTCCGTTGATGAGGGTGTCCTATAAACAGACGCTCAGTCGTTCTTCAGTCATTCTTCAGGTTTCTAGAGGAGGGAGCTGCAACTTTCATAGTGGTTGTAAATGTCCAACCGAAGACCTTTTTCACTGATTGGGTTGAAAGTCAGTTTTCTACGCTTATCTCAACGAGACATCTTGATTGAAGATTTCAACCATCGTTATGATGCCGGTCTGGTTCCAATGTCACAAATCGCACTTTTAGTGGGCTTAAGATCTTCGTGGCAGATTTCCTTTTCCAATTTTTCTCCCTACTTTATTATTTCGTCCTGGTTCAATAATATTTCATAACTTTACTAAATGAATATTATTTGCGAATTCTGCTTGTCTTGAAAGGGAACGAATTGTTATTATTATCATATCATCCGCACAAAGCAGTGAGAGCTAATCTCAGGATGGTTATGAAAAAAACAACTGAAAAATACACCTGTTTTCAATATATTCAGTTGCGAAGTGTGAACACTGTTTAAGTTCAGATCGCTATTCTTAGATGTCGTAGCATCGCCGCCAACAATAACCTGAAATCCCGTCCAATAATTTGTAAGTCTGTCATCGACGCACTCAGCGCCGAAATCGGCGAGCAGCAAGGTAAGTTCATCTAGATTTCAAATCAGCCAACTTTAAGTTTCGGATTCTCTATCCTTCGAACTCATCAATTTCATGCCCTTTTGTGTGCAACGAAATTCCGGAACGACAGAAAATCCCGTGCTTATGAAGCCAGTGGGCGTCCTGCCTTGTACAAGTGATCTCTAAAACTGCTCCACATTTGCTGCTTCACAAGAAATAACGAAGGCGCTACAACCCTCACTCGAAGGGCCTACTGTGTGCAGGATAAATACCATGGACGCCTCGCGCAGGATCGTGCAGACTAGAGGAGGAAAGTTTCGAGGGGGGGGGAGGGGTCATATTCAGCAAGAATGTCCTCTAGCAGGCGTGCCCTGGTTTTAGACCATTTGAGAAAGAAAAACCGCCCAAAGCTTCACGCATTTCTGCTTTGCATAAGTTATTCCTCGAGAACAACATACAAACAAGAATACCGGACACTGTTACCACAAGAATAACCAATAAATATGCAGAAATAAGCTGGATTGATCATAGGCAGACACGTCCCTATGTGGCTCACAGAGGTGCATGACCTTACGAAATACGCTGCACTGTTCGTTAGCATACACAAATTGTGATTCTAAAACAGAAGAAATAAGAACAAGGCAATACAGACAAGACATGCCCCTTCCAACTACCATTATCTTTGTTCCCGTGGTTCGTTCTTTTTTGTTTCGGAATTTGATTCCCCGTTCTGCTTGAATCTGGTCCTTTTTCAATTTATCCTTTTTTTAATGCAATCTATTTTTAAATTTACGATTTCGGATGCGCTCCTACATATGCTACATTTCACTCATTCCGCTCGTGGTCCTGGGCGTATTCTTGTATTCCGAACTACTACCGATCTCACTACATTATCACGGAGCGACTTCCATTAGGATGGCCCAGGCGTTTGGTGACTGGCGATCATGCATGACAACTCATTTGGATATGGTGAAAGATAAGCCTGTTAAGGTAGTCCACTCCTCTATACGAAAAGGAACCTCAACCATCGAGCTGTTAACTTTCTAGATGTGGTTTCAATTCGAAAGAATTACCGCTTTCTGCACGATTTCTAGCAAGCTTCGCAACATCAAGCTCGTTTCTATCCGGAATAAGGACGAAGTTAAGCACTGTGTCCTTAGCCATGTATGTTGAGGTTTGCGCTATGACATTTTTGACAATTTGCAATTTTTCAGGATAGTGATCCCCATATTATCGTGACGTTAGGTGTCGGCGCAGACATAAGAGCTGAGCGCGTATTAAAACAACTACTTCCAGAGGTAAACTTATGCAGATTATGACCTTAACCTTCCATGCAAACACTGACAATATTTTTTCGCTAAAATTCCAGGGGTCAGAATTCTTTGGAGCTGATCCGGTGTCAACGCCGAATGCCGATCTTTTCAGCGAAATTGGGACATTTTTTCCAGTTGCTGTCAGTGATCACTCTGGTCTCGCACGTTCCATCATTAGAGAATATAATGGTAACTGCCATCATCAGATTGCTATAATATGTGTGAAACTTTTTGGCTCAACCAGGGCTTAAGCCATATTCTTGCGTACTCGGCTGGATAGCAGCAGATCACCCTCTATGAAATGTTGCAAATCCAATGCTCGGAAAGAATGAAGAGGTCGGGCTGTAGCTGGGGCAGAACACTTGTACGATGAATTACCCGAAAATTACAACCTTGATCACGATCATTTGCAAAAAATATTCACGTTACCTTTAATCGTCTTGGTAACTGGCTTCTTTCTATTTTTCGCTATTACCTGCGATGCCGATGTGATAACCTTGTTAACTATGGCTTTTTTCTATTTGTCATAAGCGTGAATATTTGAAGTTGGGGAGAAATCTCATCTTTTCAAAGATGATACCTAATGACAGAAGGGCCAACAGTTATTCACGAGTTCAAGGGGCTTTGTCCTGTCAACAAAATGGAAAGCACGCACTAATGATACTACAGACGAGTGCTGCAAAACGTCTCAAATAGAGAACATGACATTTCTCTGCAGCGCTGCAAGCAGCAGTAGAAGATCTTCAGATTTATGTACGAAACGTTTACGACAGTGGGATTACAAGTACTATTGAGTAGGCTTACAAACTGGCTTTTTTCCTCGCCAAGAATTTTGTGTAAAAGATGAGTTTTTGTGATGTATTCTACATTGTTTCATAGATAATTCTTTGCCCCAGAAGATAGTGGGCTTCCTTTGTATTGTTCTTAATTTGCAAATTTCAAGCTGATCAATAGTGTGAAAGGCTTGGACATGTGAGTTTTACGGAAAACCGCCCGCAATAAGATCCTCTTTATTGCAATTGATCACCGGGCGAGCGTATGATGACGAACATCAACTGTGAATTGCAAAAGTAAACGACCTGACAAGAGACGACTGGCAAGAGTGGAGAGAGGTCAGAAAACGGCGGGTGGCAGAGCGCAATGGCACTCACAACGACACGGTCATCGAAGGCCAGCATGGACCTACTGGGCGCCCACGGGTCTAAAACCAAAGCGCCCTCGCCCTGGTTGCCAGTTTTCAAGCTTTGCGTATAGTGCAGCCCCTGCGGGTGCCTACCCGGTCACCGTATCACGTTTGCGAGATTTTAGCCTTAATTTATATTGACCAAGTGACCCTCTGCAGTTTCAGCTTTTCATTTACTTTAATTATAATAAAAAAGAGGACGTCGGAAACGCTGGACTTCGGCCTTTCACTTCAAATAGTGGAAATAAGAACCTTCAGAAAATGTAAGCATACAACCTTATAGCGCGACGACTTCTCCATCAGATAGCAAAAAGCTCAGACTTCAAGCTTTGAGGCGAAATTTCGAGTTAGAAAGAAAACGCCATCTCTTATAGGCCTATCAAACTCATCAAGCAATCCAAATAAAAATATACGTGCTAGTAAAACAATTTATTTTTCGGGAGAATTTCTTTCTAACCTC